CACAGGGCACCCAGTGGGAGGGGGTGTGGTCACAGGGCACCCAGTGGGAGGGGGTGTGGTCACAGGGCACCCAGTGGGAGGGGGTGTGGTCACAGGGCGCACAGTGGGAGGGGGTGTGGTCACAGGGCGCACAGTGGGAGGGGGTGTGGACACAGGGCGCACAGTGGGAGTTTCTGGTATTATTTCTCACATTCATTCTACTGATATCTGGTATTAAAAGCATGATAAAAGTGTCTGCAGACTTTTCTGACCTGTCAAGAAAAACAAAACTAAAACAGTTTCTCACAGCAGGTGGAGGTGAAAGCTGTGATTGTCTGAAACCTCAAAACAGATTTAACATTCAACAGTGCAAATAACTCCGCTATGAAGTTTCTTCTACCAGAAATAAAGACCACAAAAACAACAAGAACATAAAAATTATTTCTTACCAGTTCACTGCTCCTTGAAACAGAAATTAACACTGAAATCAATTTCAGTACTCATTCTGGTTAAATCAGTAATCCTGATTTCAGCAGACGCACTATAGCGCTAGTACTATATATTCCGACAAAAACTCACAATTTTATGGAGAGAAAGTGGCTCTGGCCCCACAGCGATGCAGCTCTTTGAGCAGAGGTGTCTGTAAATGGCATCAGCGACGAACATCTTCAGCCAGGGGGACTGCAGGCTGGTGACCAGCTCCACTAGAACCTCAGGGCTTGAGTCTTCCGAACGCCAAGCATGAGTGGGAGAGAGACAAAAGCACTCGTTTGTTTTCTTTCAAGCCCGGAGTCTCAAGGAGGATGGAGAAGGCAAACACAGTATTCCCCGAACTTGTCTGTACCTTGCCATAAAATGGAAAGATAATCTGCAAAGTCCTTCATGCCTTTCTCCGCCAGATCTCTGTTCAGCCTGCTGTTGTCCTGTCGCCAGAACTCCACAGCCACTCCAAAGATCTCGTGCAGTGTGGACACCACGTCCGGCCTCGAAACCTGAAAGAAAGCTGCGTCAGATTTCCATGTTTCAATTCCTGCTTAGAAGGTGAGGGGCCCTGTTGAGCTGCACCCCTATAACTGGAAACCCACTACTGCAGTTTACTGTGGTTTAATGGCACAGGTTAATGCAGAACCATGGCCAAGCAAAGCAAAGATAAAACAAACACTGCACAAATCCACAGTGGCGTCGTTTCACAGGGGAAGCAAAAATCAATCCCCCTATAGCTGCACCATGAAAGGAAACACTGCACTAACACCAGATGGAAGGAATACCCAATAGAAAAACATTTTCAGGGCCTCAGGGGCTTACTTAACATACTTAAATTATTTTATAGGGCACCTTGCACAACACATCACCAATACTACTTCCATTCACACCACACCCCTCTGACCTCAGCCTGTACAGCTGCGCCCCATAACCTCACCCAGGTCCCCGTGCCCACTCCCCATACTTGGGCCACTCCCACACCCCACCCACACATCACCACGGGCCCAGCCTCGAACTGAACCCACACAAAACCCCTCCGAATCCCAAGGGGACCAAGGGGGTGTGGGGGACTGCCACGCGCTCACAATCCCAGGAGTCGCCTCGGAGGATCAAGACAGAGCAGAGAGAGAGAGAGAAAGGGCTCCTTTGCACGGCTTGAGTTTGTAGAAGCAGTTACTGTACAGCTTTGTGTTCCTGCAACTAAAACCCCTTTGCCATCATCTGTTGGTTCAGGGCACCACTGCTGAACTGTCTTGTTCACTCAGTGTACGTAGCAGCAGCTCACCGGCGACACACACAGACTCACGCGTTTTATCTCCAAATCTGCGCAAGGAGCAGGTCTTGTCAGTTCAGTTGAACTGACCGATGACAACAAGCACCCCAGAGGAATCGCTTTTACCCCCTTTCAAGAATAAACACAGAGAAGGGGAAAGCCCAGGGGATGACGTACCTCTTTCGATGCAAGAAGCCACTGGGTGGCTTCAACTAGCAGTTTTGCCAGCTGCTGCAGAGGCTTCGTTGCCAGGGTCGACTTCTCCCACACGTTCCAAAAGGTGTGGACCAGAACCGAAGACATACCTCCTCCGGGTTCTCTGGGAAAGGCGGAAACAAACCGGAAGTGTCCTGCCGTCACTGCCATGCCTTTACAACGGGACAATGAAACGTCCAGCCTTACCCAGAACGCACCAGCAGAGCTACACACAGTGGCCATAGGGGTGAAGAAAGGCTATGTCTAGGCTGCACAAAGAGGGAGAAAAGCGTTCCAAGTGCTAATCCCAAAATTATTCTTTAAAACAGAAGAGGCAGCGGACAAAGTAAGTCACAGAGTGTCGGGCTTACCTGGTGTTTAAGGAGTGGAGATCAAACCTGTAGAGATCGAGAAGGAAGGCCAGGAGATGGGCATGGAACTTCTCCTGCTCTGGGCTGACGGGCTCAGGGCAGAGGTGGCAGCAGGGACCGCCGGACACGAGCCGCCTGGCCGGAGGAAGCACAGGGAGTCAGCTTCCGGCTCAGCTCTCCACCCCCACGCGGTTCACGCCAGCCCAAGGGAGCTGGTGTCTGCACCGACCACGTCTACACATTCAACTCTAACCTACACGCCTCTTGGCTCGATCACACCCCCCCTACTATTAGAACACCTGCTTTTCTTCACAGGAAGGCTCACAGCCTTTTCCTCTGGCTTCTTTGGAAGTCTTTTGCTTCGTCCCCCGGCACTAAAGCACGGTGAACGAGGAGCTGCTTGCATCACAGCCCGATGACGGAGAGGAAGAGGCAGCGCTCCGCCGGCGTGGAACAGCCCCGCTCACCTGGCAGACGCCTCCAGAAAGGCCCAAGGCCCCTCCTTGCACTCGGGACACTGCAGGAGGCTCAGGAAGTACCCGACTCGGGAGGGCCACCCCCAGGGAGGGTTATTGCGGAACACGTCGTGCAGCGTGTTCAGAAACGTGATCACGAACAGCGGGCTTTCAGCGTCCTGGAGAACACAGCGAGTGAGGAGAGGTGGGATTTAGTATCTCGGCACCGAACGCCCCTTTTAAACATCCGGCGTGGAGAACACGCGGCTATCGACTCGTTGTTAATTCAGTCTCGCGGATTGTGCTGAACTGGTAGTTTCCACTAATCTGGAATCCTATCTTTATTAGATTTCACAGGAAACAGATTAGAGTGAGTATCTACATACGGCAAGGGTCTGAACAGCCAGTGACTGCTTTTGAAATGCAATCAATCTTCAATGAAACTAAAATGAAAGGAAGAAAAAAAATATCTTAAGACAAACTACCTGAGAACAGAAATGACTGTATACATTCCCAAATAACTAATCTGTGTATTTTACAACTGCAGATATTAAAAAAACAACTCAACAGGTACCAGGGAGTAATATGTAAAGAGTTCCCAACTGCCACTGGATTCTGCTTTAAGAGACCTTGGTACCAGCTTAGAAGTCTGAGTAACTTTACTGACACCTTTACTAACAGGCGGAGTAACTTCCAGGGCCCTGGTGAAGCACTGTGTATCCCTGATGGAATGGTGTGACATGACCACGCAGGGATAGATGTCAGTTATGTCATGTAGTGTTAAAGTGTTCGTACGTTTTGCAAATGTCTTTGGGTGTAAAAGACAGCCGCTCTGATGAGAGATAAATTTCTGAAATATCTGACGATAAACCTTGACAGGATGGTAGGTACTAAAACAACATAAACCCTGATCCTTAACACAGTCAATACATCAATGTTTAAACAAATAACTGCCCCTTCTCCAAAAAGTCAAATGTTACTTTCTATACTTTAAAATAATGCTGAAAGAAAAAACTTTTATGCAAGTGCTTATATACAGTATGAAGCCTATCTACAGATACACTGTATGCAAATCTATTGCATGCCATCAGAGCATCGGACTAACTTTGTGACCGACAGGCACAAAAGTTTTCTACGATGTATAAAGAACGAAACCAGTTTCCCACCTTCTACAAAGACAGATGCATTCCTAGTTGCTATCATACCGATCACAGAAGCACGGACGTACAATTCTTCGCGGCTCAGTGTGGCAGCTCATAGACTACCAACGCACTCAGATTCCTCCAAAGCATCAGGCTCAAGAACAGCAACCGGGTTCGCAGGGCTATGGGCCTCAGTCTTACGGCTTAAGGGGATTTTCTACACTGACGGCCTGAAAGAACTATATCTTTTCAGTCTTGAAAGGAGAAGGCAGCGAGGGGGCCCGATACAAGCGTCCTCAGTCCTCAGAGGCACTGACACACTCAGCCCAGAGCTCTTCTTCAGGACGAACCTGGAAACTCGAACCAGGGGGCACAAGTGGAAACGACTCAGAAGTGCGTTTCACACCCAGGACAGGAGACCCGTGGACTTAAAGGTCCAATAAGGCTACTATCTACCTAACAGGCAGGTGGGCCGAACGGCCTCCTCTCATTGGTAAATAGTTTTTTTGAAAGTAAGAACTTTTTAAAAAGTTCTTACTCCTTATAACTGTTCTGTATTGGTTTCAGTTGAAAAAAACACTTTTATGCCTACAATGCCACACTACCGCATAAGAAAAAATATTAAGCTGTTTAATACTTATGTGTATTATTAAGGTATTAAGTGGCAAAAAAATAATTAAAATGTTCTTTCATTTTTTTCTAAGGGTACTTTTGCTCTTTTATCTTTAATAATAATAGGCTGCGGATTTTATTCAAAACACCGAGACATCTAAACAGCTGGGCACTTTTATGGAAGCAATCTGGGCGAAGCACCAAGCTCTGCTCTGCATGAGCACCATCCAGGATCTGAACCCACTGTCTTGCACAGACGGCTCCAGAGCCCTGCCCGCCCCTCTGCACCACTGAAACACTCCAGCTGCCAGCTGACCTGCACTGCAGACCCATGCAAACACCTGGGAAAGTCGGTGTGAGCACTGATGATTCAGGTGCTTCGAGGGGCTGTATGAATGAA